CATTAATGAACAATGAACTTTAATCATTAACTACAACAAAATAACCCAACCATTGTTGCTTTATCACCAGTGATGTGCTGGTGCCATCTGAGTACTACCTTGTGAGAAGTAATCTACTATTGAAATAAGGCTTAAAAATTGTATTGAGTGAATCTATAATTTACCATATACAGTGAGAATTATATTTTATTTAAACAGGACAATAAACGCTTAATACTGTAATAAATACTGTTAATTTAGATAAAATTGCAAAATATTGAAAGAAATGTTTTAGAAGTAAAAATTATGAATCATCTTATATGTGCTATCGTATGTGCTATCCGCCTGTCTCTTAATTACATGCACATAATGTTCCCTTTCAGCAAAATTCAAATTGAAAAGATTTTTCAAAGCAACCGGTAAGCATTAGGCTATCCCTTTCCATCCCCAATATATTGCAGTCCCCAAATATATATATATATATATTCCAATATATTCCATATATTCCATCAAATATATATTCCATCCCCAATATATCAGCTTATCCTAACGTAGAACAATGAATATGATAGCGTATCAAAACAGCAAACACTTCGTGCTATGGATGATGTAGGGCGTCGTTTGAACGCGAGTTACCCCGACGGTTTCACCGAGAATAACCCGAGCACTGCAGCATCAGCACCAGTAGCAGTCGATGCGCAGGTGCCGCCTTTAAAGAGACCGCGCGCTCAATTCTCCCGTACTGCTGGATAGGCTGTAATTTCCCTTTGTTGAAGTTTTTCGTCTAGGCCACATCATTTCCAACCCCACCCGTTCCTTTGCCTCCCAACCAAAGCAATCTCATAAGCAAGTGCTTCTAAAAATAGGTTTTACATACGTTTTCCTCCTGCCCCCCAAAAGAAAACAGCCCTGTTGCAGGTGAATAGCGATAGTCTAATGTTGGCTATTTGATTTGCACGAAAAAAATCGTATGATGTATAGCCTTAGGCCTATGGAAATATGGAGATGCAGTTGCACCTGCTTGGATTCCCTCTTGGATCATGGGAAAACTGAGATCTCCACATGTCCCGTGACCGTATACCAGGCCAGCCCTGCACTCACTTTCCCGCAGAGGGATTTGTAATGTAAACTACCCCACCACAACAACCCAATAGGAAGTGGCGTGTGCGTCTGCCATAAGGTTGTATTGAGAACAATTGCAGTGGAATATAAATAGCCTACATTTTAATTATTTATATTTTAAATATTTTATATTTTATCCAAATATTTATACTTTGCAAAATATCAGCAATTTAACCAATGTAAGAATTAATTATAAAATTGATTTTTAAAAATGGGTAAAAGTTACATCCGGTAAAGCCTAAGTTCATTGCATTTTACAATAGGCTATTAAATCAGTATTAAAGGTTAAAAAAGATAGTAAAACAACTGTGTAGTATAATGCCTAGCTAGTCCAAAATATAGTTAGGCATAGGCTATCAGTAACAATATGAATCTTTTTGTTTGGGCATTGCCAAAATTGCGCGAACCACTAACATAAACGTTTTATTTATGAAATGGCTTTCTGTTTTTGTTGACAGTCATAGGCTACTTGAAGTGTTTTTTTTTTTTAAATTTAGGCTGATATTACATATTTTAATATTGTTGTAACATTATATCCTCATAAAGTTAAACACATAGAATGTCACCAAATGCACGCAGCATCATCATTGTAGCCTATTTTTATGGCAAAGTGCAACCCCTCGGCTGCCAGATTTTGACCATACATTTCCGACAACAATTTAAAATGGGGGATTTTTTTTTCGAAACACCTGCAAACACAAGCAAAGCATAATCTAAGTAACCAAATATAGTTTAATCGTCCTCCAATGTGTAACACAGGTTTATTTCGGACGAGAGCAGTTACGCCCAGTACCACAGACCGGGCGTGCCAGGGCTCCTCTGTCCACTGCGCGCTATCACTGCGGTGCAGCATCCGGAGGACCGGGCAGAACGAGCACTACTTCTCTCTGCACAGCTCCATACGCATTCTGGATGACTGTAAATGCGCAATGTTCGAGTCATGTTTGCCCTTCCGTCAGCTGTATGAAACTAAAACTCCTGTTTTAACAAGGGTGCTGCATATAGTTAATTTATAACTGTTATGTTTATTTTGGATGGGAATTGTCTCGATATATTTTTAAGGAACGACATGAATGTGACGTACAGCGGCTTTCTGAAGGAGAAGAGCATCCTCGCCGTCACCGGTGAGCGGGATCGGGCGTGTAACGGAGCATCTTTTCTCTCAGCTGGACTAGTGCGGGGCCACTCCTGTTGCTGAAGCCTGTGTGTACTATTCTCTTGAGCTAAGAGGAATGAATTGGACATTTTTATATTGCATGTGTGTGATGTCATTGGCAGGGTATGTGATGCATGTTATTCTAAACAGTGACTCTGTTCACCAGGTTGAGTTCACGTGTAATGAATGTGATAGGTATTTCTTTATTTATGAATAGTGTTCCCTCATAATTGTTTATTGAGTGCTCTGTCTTATATCTGTGTTGGGAAGTGGAGCATTTGTGATTGAAGGGAGACAGTGACCTATCTCTGACAGACTGGGTTTTCACTACTGGTTCTCAATCCTCAACACTGCACATTTGGGATGTTTGCCTTATTTAAGACAACTCATCGATATCATCAGCTCATTAGTTAAAGCTCCAAGACTTATTTTGGGTGAGTCTGAATAGAGAGACATTCAAAATTCTGATCCATTCTGAGGTGCTAAAAAAACATGGCCTTTCGCCTAACCAGAAAAAGAGTCAAGTTGTGGGCAATAGAGTCCTATGGCTTTGCTATGCACTATATACCACTTGGTCAAGTTGGTCTGTTATCTGGTTTTGCATTAATTTGTTAATCCAGTTTAACACCAGTATGGCCGGGCTGTGGGACCATCTTAAACCAGTAAAGACCAGAATTCCAAATTAGGCTGCATATATTAAATAGGAAATATTTTAAATAAAGCGTTCAGGACCACTCATTTGAAGACGAATCACGTCAATATGAAGAGGACCAAGTGCAGGTCTATCTGTGAGGAAGATGGATTGGGTGAATTTACAGATTTTGAATCCCTCTGAGGTTTTTTCTTCCCATGTTGGTGCATGTATTTCATCCAGCCTCAGCAGTTATGATTTTATTTAATGAAAGCCTGTGTCATGTGGAAGTACAGAGGGTCCAATACATGTAAAGCTCCAGAGCAGTCTGATCAGTTTTGAAATGTAGTTTTGTTCGATTCTCCAGCCTCTTGTCTTGTGCCTTTAGACAAGATGGAAAATAAACTGAGCGCTTCTTAATGGAAGATACCATATTGACAAGCACTTTAACAGTATAATTTACTAGATGGCAACAGTGAAAACATTGGTTCTTTAGAGAGGGAGGATTTTATCAAGCACATCTGCACCCGGAACTGGTTTAGATGCTTCTGCAGTCTAAGTGCATTCGCTATTGACGTGAAATACAATAACTCATATGGATTCCACGTTCTCATTGCTCTCAGTACTGTTTGTACCTTTGTAGCTCAGTTTTACAATGTCAGTGTCATTGAATCTGGTGGAGATTTTTAATTAAATGCTGATATGACGAGATTTAAAAGTCTGATATTCGTGGAGAAAGGCACTTGTGTACTGCATTCTGAGTAATGCAATTCTTGCTGTGGACTTATACATTGTTGGAACAAATTGTCCCAGTCCCTTCGAGGGAAATTAATTAATGAACAAATGGTTATTTCACTGTCGCCTTGCTTTTGGCTTGCTTTGAGCTTGCTCAGTTGGGATTATTTAGTGTTTAGCAATGTTGTTGATCTGTGTTGTGCTACTTTCATGTTATCAGTGTGAAGCTGCTTTGATACAATCTGTATTGTGAAAAGCGCTATATAAATAAATGTGACTTGACTTGACTTGACTTATTTGAAAAAGTAAAATGAAGAAAGTTTTCTTTGGGTGATTTAGTGTAGGGAGAATATCGATTTGTACATTATAAATATATTTGTCTATAGAGAGATGAAGAATCTAATGTGTGTGTGTGTGTGTGTGTGTGTGTGTGTGTGTAGAATTTTCATATTCTATGTCATTCAGAAAATTCATATGAATCACTATACTGTTGTCAGGCTTTAATCAGATCCTTACTCTTCATAACAGTTCTGGAATTACAACCTCAGCCTTCCACATCCAGCTGGAAAACGTGAGAATCCTATTAAATCTGTTAGAGCTTTCCATCCGTCATGGCCCTCACAGAAGCTTTCTTTTTTATGTAAATAGAGGAGAATTCTATAAAAAAAAATTTGTGAGTTTATCTAAATAATCTGAAAAATAGAATGGATTATGTTCAGGGAAGTTCGTCATTACTAATGCAAAGCTACAGAAATACTAATTTGAAATAGAGAGAGATACTCGACCCAGTGGTCAGTTGTAATTCTTGTCAGCTTGTTCGTTGAGAGCTGCCCACGCAAAACTGAAAAAAAAAAAGGTTTCCATCAAAGCTTCAGATTCAAATTCCATAGGCTTTAATTGCTCTACTAACTGAGACTGTCTCCAAGTGCATAACCCTCATGTCTGAGCAGATGCTTCCTCTGTCACAGATTTATGCTCAAAATATCTTTCTAGATGGCCTTAGGATAATATAGTTAGCACCCTAATGCCACTGCTAACCGAAAACACTTCATTAAAACATAATGTGGTTGGAATGAGCGGATTTTTATTCAGAATGGTGTGGTCATGATTAATTTATGTTTCTTTTTAAAAGACAGAATGATTTTGATACCTTTCTCCAGCCCAACCTCACATAGTATCAATAAACTCAAATATAAGAATGTGCATGAACTCATCAAAGACATGTTCTCCACTGCATAAGTGTGTGTATGTGAGGTGATTGAGGTAGATTTGATTACAGAAAGTAGTATGATTGTATGATTCCGTGTCAGTACAAATGTTCCATATTTATACATTCTAACAATTTTTTTCATCATTGCATTCTCCCACATTTCCCAGGCTCTTGGTATGGCTGCGAAGTCCTCAGAGCCGGGGTCAGTTTCCATTCCCATGGAGGAGACTAAGCGTGCGGGAGGAGCCCCTCAAGACGCTGCCATGCTGACCCACCTGAAGAAGGTGGAGAACCATATCACCGAGGCACAGAGGTTTTCTCACCTGCCTCGGCGTTCAGCAGTGGACTTGGAGTTTACAGAGCTTTCCTACACCATCCGCGAGGGCCCCTGTTGGAGGAGGCGAGGTATTGCATGAATCTTCAAGATTAAGCTTATGTGGTGGTGATTACAAGCCTGACTTCGTCAGGATGTTGATCAGAATGTGAGTCTGAAACTGCTCCATAGGGCTTTGATTATGAGGCTTGTCTTAACCGAACCAGAAAAAAAAAACCCTCTGCACTCAATTGGATAGTCGCAGAGACCTACAACCAATCAGAGCAATGCAGTAAGTCAACTACTTTGCATATCACAGTTGTCAACTACAGAACTTACTTATTTATTTTAGAAATAAAATAACAAGTGTTACTTTTTTTACTTTTTTTTTTAAACCACAACGACCACAGGGCTTTTCATTACGTCCCATCTTCTTAGCGACCATCGGACCAGCTGATAAGTTACACTTTTCCCGAATCATGTAGGAAGGACGGCAAAAATATCTTTCCGATCGACAAATGCCTTGATTGCAGTTTTCTGTTCGTCTATTAAAATTAATGCGCTGTCGATTTATTTTACAACAGACGCGACAGCGTAATCTATACATCTCAATTCTCCAGCTGCAGTCATCTTTAAGGGGAAACCAGTTAAGCGCTCTTCGATAACGTGATGATTACGTCCCTGCAGATCATCTCTCCATCATCGTATAAAGCCCGCCCTGGCAATCTGATTGGCCCGATCATTTTTTGACTGATCATAATTACTCCTCAATGGATCGAGTCCAGACCGAACTTCGCGACCAAAAAAATGTTGTGGGCGGGGTTGGCATCCAGGCTAGGTGATTACTGTAAGATGAAGCTTGAAGTTAAACTTGGTTAAAATAACTCAAAATAACTCAAAATGAGTGATTATAGTATGTTTTTCAGGTAGTATTAGTGGGTTGCACATTTTACCTTTGAGATTTTTTTATTGTGTCCGAAATCAAGACGCTGACAGTTATTTTCCTTTTATTGCCCATGAGTACAAAAGTGGTCATGTGATTTACTGCGTTTATCTCTCCCAATCAATGACACACTTTACAGATATGATAAGCTACACACATAATCACAGATATAATAATATTAGCCAAGAAACTGTAATCATGCAACAAACCAATCGTAAAACTGTGCGGACATGAACAACTTATTTGTCTGGTTTTCTTGTGCTAAACATTTATTGTGTCTGAACTCAAGATACTGCTAATAAATGAAATTTATTATATGGTTTCTGGAATACTCAAATCTGATTGGTCAATCGCTGTCGTCAGATCTCCATCATCCATGCCAACACTCATCCTAGAACTGAAACCTACTTTTACAAAGCAGATTCAAACTATTTCGAACATGTGCCATGGTGTATCTCTGTAATCAACTGTAATATAAATTCAAAAGATTTTTTTTAATCTAATGTACTGGCAAGATCATAGAAATAAATAAATGTTTCATTTGGTGAGTTGGTGCATCAGTGTCATGATGACCCAGTTGGGGTTTGTTTTGTGATATGGACAGAATAGCTATAATCCCTTATCACTCCAAACCCACGGCACACAAACACACATATACATGGACATAATACTATTAGCTCCTCACACACACACATCGCCCTGTGTCCTGGGCTGTGGAGTGCTGTTCTCAGCAGACTTTAGATATAGTAAATAATTCACTTCCCTAGACGGCACACTGCTCAGCTGTCTGCTGCATAACCTAGCTAAACCTGCCCAGGATGAGCTCAGCCCACACACGTGAACGCTCTCACACACTTTATTGATAAGGACAATAATCTTCTTCTATACCACCCATCTTTTAAAATCTGGTTGTAATGATTCATTGTACTTGGGTTATTTGCTCTGCAGCATATAGGCTGGTTTTTGATGGACATATGAAACTAGGTTTATCTGACATTCTGTGTAGCTCGTGAGATAAGATAAGAGATCTAGTCTTAAGAAGGTATATGGAGAGCTTAGATAAAAGGAGAAATGTTTTGTGCTTAAATGCTCTTAAACTAATGGAAATCGTTAGTTTGAGCTTTGGGTGTATGTGCTTCACTGCATGGGCTAGAAAAAGGTTCATGAAATTATTCATTTTATCTTTATATCATAGTATATTTTCACTGTACTCTCATTTCATTGTATATTCTCACTCTGTACACACACAATTTTATAACTTAAATATAACTCATACATAGAATATGCTTAACAAAAAAAAAAGCCGCACCCATTTTGTCATGATTCTGCCTTCTTGTCTTTGATTTTCTCTAGTTGTGAGGCAGGATCATGACAGAATCATGTTTTGTGTGCAAGCGCATGGCCTGTTTGGGCCATGTGCTTGTGTTGTCTCGTTAACTTACCCCGCCCCTTGTTATCCTAGTCTTGTGATTATTGTCTAGTCAGTTTCACCTGTCTTTGTCATTATTGTTCCCCTTTATAATCCCCTTGTGTTTGCTGTCCTGTGTCGGTTCATTGTGAAAGATTGTTTGAAACCCTGCTGTGTGAAACCTGCCGTGAGATCTGTTTGATGTTTTGTGAAGTTTGCAGTGAGTAATTCCTTGAGTTAACTGTTAATCTAGAGTCTGTTCGTGTCTTAGTATTGTTCCTGTCTTGACCTCAGTTTAAGTCTAGTGTTTGTTACCCAGTCTTGTTTTGCCCCCTCGTGGGCTTTGTTTTCCCCTTTTTGTCTTGAATAAATTCTGTGTTGAGCAATCAGTCTGCTTTTGGGTTCGTCTATCCTCCCACCTCATAACAGAATGAACCGACCAGAAAAGAACCCAGCAGACTGTTTGTCTTTCCCCAATAGACCACAACCGGCTGACCAAGAATTATGGTGGCAGTCGGCCATCGCAGATAGTAGAGCTGGAAGACTTCCATTTCCTCCCCAGGGTGAGTTGTCCCTGCAGAAGTATGCTCAAGTCGTTGAAGAAAGGAGATTCTTCCTGCCTGAGGTCCTGGTTTCTCGCTATTTCATCGCCGGTCTCAACTCTCCACCTCCGTTGACTGAACGGGAGGAGCTCACTCGTCGCCCATTTCAAGCTGTGGTGGATAGCTTATCCCGGAGAGAGTCACAGACACCCACAAGCTTGTCACCACCTGCCAGGCTGCCAGTGATCCCGGAGGGTCACATTTTAGCCGTGGTTACGCAGGGGAACCAGGCTCACTCCACTTCGGCTCCCGACGCATCAGCTGCACCCGCAAGTCTCCGTGGCAAGCGAGAGAGACGGCTGTCGTGGGAGTCTACTTCGGAGTCCTCTTCAACTGAGACCACACTTCCTGCCGTGCTTCCCCAACCGGTCACAAACCTGGCTATGTCCTCTGCTCCACGACCCAGGAAGAAGAGGAGGAAGAAGGGAGCCTCTTGTCCTCTGTCTCCGTCTCTTCCAGAGCCCGCTCCAGCAGGCGCCGTCCCAGAGCCCGCTCCAGCAGGCGCCGTCCCAGAGCCCGCTCCAGCAGGCGCCGTCCCAGAGCCCGCTCCAGCAGGCGCCGTCCCAGAGCCCGCTCCAGCAGGCGCCGTCCCAGAGCCCGCTCCAGCAGGCGCCGTCCCAGAGCCCGCTCCAGCAGGCGCCGTCCCAGAGCCCGCTCCAGCAGGCGTCGTCCCAGAGCCCACTGCGGAGAGAGTTGCGGCCGATCTAGCCGCAGGAGAGATTCTGCAGTCGGTTTCTGCTCGTCAGGAGATGCCCATCGCTCTGGCTGCCAAGACCCTGTCTGACTATTTGTCCAGTCTGATCAAGATCCTCGAAGTGCCTGTCCTGTCTTGTCCCGAGCCCACTGTGTCTGTAAGCGCTGTCCCTGAATCTATGTCTGTAGGCGCTGTCCCTGAACCTGCAGCGGAGAACACCACTCCCAAGTCGGAGAGGTTGATCGTCGGATCCGAGTCACTTTCGGTGAGCTCTGCCCCAGTTCTCCCTCTTCGATCTCTTACCACACCCCCCGTCATGAGTCCAGCTTCGTGTCCATCGTTCGCTGTACCCCCAGTTGCTATCCTGTTGTGACTTCCACTGTTCCCAAGACCTCGTGTGTTTCCCCGGTCAGTCCTGTCTGCGCTCAACCCCGGTCCCGGACTGTTTCCCCAGTTGTCCCTGTCCCCACGGTCCCTGGACTTCCGTTTGTTTCCCCTGTCTCCCCTGTCATGGCTCAACCCCGGACTGTTTTTCCCTTGTCCCACACCACTCCTCCCAAGCCCGCTCGGTCCTCTCATCCTAAGTCCACTCCCTGTGGTCCCAGGACCCCTGTCCCGCCCACCCACCCTGGACAGTCGCTCAAAGACTCTGTGTTTCCTCCACCTCCTCTGCCTTGTATGTTGTTTTTGATGTTTCACCCCAATCCTGTCGTTGTGTATTTTTGTATGCCTTTGTTACTTTTTGCTATGTACTGTTGGTTTGTGTCTTTGTCACAGTCTGTCATGTCCCGTGTTTAATGTCCCCTTGAGGAGCGTCTGGAAGCCGCTCCTTAAGGTGGGGGTTCTGTCATGATTCTGCCTTCTTGTCTTTGATTTTCTCTAGTTGTGAGGCAGGATCATGACAGAATCATGTTTTGTGTGCAAGCGCATGGCCTGTTTGGGCCATGTGCTTGTGTTGTCTCGTTAACTTACCCCGCCCCTTGTTATCCTAGTCTTGTGATTATTGTCTAGTCAGTTTCACCTGTCTTTGTCATTATTGTTCCCCTTTATAATCCCCTTGTGTTTGCTGTCCTGTGTCGGTTCATTGTGAAAGATTGTTTGAAACCCTGCTGTGTGAAACCTGCCGTGAGATCTGTTTGATGTTTTGTGAAGTTTGCAGTGAGTAATTCCTTGAGTTAACTGTTAATCTAGAGTCTGTTCGTGTCTTAGTATTGTTCCTGTCTTGACCTCAGTTTAAGTCTAGTGTTTGTTACCCAGTCTTGTTTTGCCCCCTCGTGGGCTTTGTTTTCCCCTTTTTGTCTTGAATAAATTTTGTGTTGAGCAATCAGTCTGCTTTTGGGTTCGTCTATCCTCCCAGCACATAACACATTTATTGATTTATGATAAATCACATATGTCTTTCTCCCTCTTTCTATGCTCCATGTATTTTAGCCAGTAATCCTCAT